AAGAAATGGGGAACACGGGAAGGATTTGTACCCGCGAGGGCCCCACAGGGTCCTGCTCAGTTTTAGATACTCCCAAACACCCTAACATGCTCCTCCCCTGGTCAGTGCCATTATTGTTCACAGTTGTGCAAGTCAAATATCTAGCAGAAAGCCTTGATATTTCTCATTCCTTCATCCCCACCTCCAATCCACCAGCTGTCTGGTGAGCACTACTTCTAAAATGCCCCCAAATCTGACCCCTTCTCACTACCTGTTCACATCTACAGCTGCCATCCCTGTGCATATCAGCATCCCTTGCCTGTGCCACTGCAATGACACCTGCTGTCCTCCTAGCTTCTACTCTGCAGTAAATTCACTGACCAGCAGTCTAGTAATCATTTTTAAAGTAAATGATATTTTTTTTCTCTGCCATAGATTACCATCTCACTTAAAATAATAATCAAGTTTCTATGCCGTGGCTGACAAAACCCACATGGGTCCATGTGATCTGGTCTCAATCTGCCTTTGCAGCCAGCTCTCCCTGGCTCATTGCCCCCCTGCTCCCCTGGCCTTATTGAGTGGCTTGAGCACAACAACCACACTTCTGTCTCTGGATCTTTGTGTATTGTTCATTCTGCAGGAACTCTTTGCTCCATATTTTTACATACCTGGCTCGCTCTCATCACTGTGATCTCAGTTAAATGTCACCTCTGACCACCCTTGCTAAATATCACCCCCCACCCTAGTCCACCCAAAGCCCTTCCTCTCATATCTCACTTTTGTAAGTTTTATTCATCGAACTTTTCATTTTTCTGAATTTATCATATTGAATTATTGCTTCCCGTTTCCCCAAACTCACCCTTCCTCCTCCTCTTCCCACAACATTGGGATACGAGCTACATGATGGCAAGGACTGGGACTTAATTAGCAAATACTTCATGGAAGAGGTGTCACTGGTGCCTTCCAGGTGATATTTCTTTATTCGTGCACACAAGCGTATGTGAATGAATACTTTCACATTTTTATAATTTTACTATCAATATTAAGTAATTTTTTTCATTCAGTATTGCAGACACTTCTGCATGTTAACAGTGTATATTTTCAAATCATGTGTAATGGCCACAGGCTAGCGTATTTTCTAGATGTACCACAATTTTCGTAACCAGTCCCCTAAAGATGAGCACTGTTCTTCTGATATTATAAACATCCTGTGATGATGTCCACTGCATGCATTTTCAACACTTGTATTTTTATAGGGCCAACTTTTGGTCAGTAAGACAAAAGTAATTGTTGAAATATATAAAATCTGTACCAAATTATATACAACTGACCAGGACCACTATGTGCCTCAAGTCTCAGCCCCCTTGTCTGTCCCAGCCTCTGTCTCAGGACCCTTCACACCTTCCTCACAGCCTGGAACCAAAGGTCAATCCCTGCCTCAGCAGGGTCCCTTCTGGACAGACGCTGTTGGGAGGTCACTTCCATGCCAAGCACTGCTGGAACAGTTTTGAATGTTTGATTATAAAACCTGTACTACTAAGGCCTTAAAATTAGATAAAAAGTTATGCACATGACTCACTTGGAAATGTATTACAAAAGTTCTTTCTACAAAATTTGTTTCAGCTGAGCGTTTATGAGTCCTGAGGGTGGGAAATTAATTATAACTTCACCAACACTGGTTATTGCCAATCTCTGATTTTTGTGAATCTTATTGGGAAAAATAGATCTCATTTTTGTTTTATTTGTATTAGTTTGACTCTTGATAAGTTGAGCATCATTTTATATGGTATTGGTTATTTATATTCCTTTCTAAGAGAAACTTGCTGCTTGTGTGTTTTGCCCTCTTTTCTTTGGACCTTGGAAGTTTAAAATTTTTTCTCTTTTGAGTCAGGTTTGTTGAGGTATAATTATTTTAACAGCTTTATTGATTATATAAGTCACATACCATACAACTCACCATTTAAAGTGTGCAGTTGAATTGGCTTTAGGATCAGTACATTCACAGATTCATGCAATCATCACCACAATCCAATTTTAGCATATTTTCATCACTCCAAAAAGAAACTCTGTACTGGCAATCACTCCGTATTAATTTTTCCCCACCCCATTCCCTGGCAAGCATTAATCTGCTTTCTGTCTCTCTAAGTTTGCCAACTATGAATATTTTATATGAATGAATTATACAATATGTTGTCTTTTGTGGCTGGCTAATTTAACTTGGCCCTGTGTTTTCAAGGTTTCTCCATGTAGTAGCATGTATGAGTAATTTCTTCTTAGTGTGGAGTAAAATTCCATTGCATGGATATGCCATATTTGATTTATCTATTTATCAGTTGATGAACATTTGGATTGCTCCCACTTTGGGCTAGTATGAATAACACTGCCATGAACACTCATGTACACGATCCAGTAATTCCACTTCTGAATATATACCCCAAAGAATTAACAGCAGGATTCTGAAGAGATATTTGTATACCCATGTTCTTAGCAAAATTATTCACAATATCTAAAATGTGGAAGCAGCAACCCAAGTGCCCACTGAGGGATGAACGGATAAGCAAAACGTGGCATACACACACAATGGAGTATTATTTGGCCTTGAAAAAGAAGGAACTTCTGACATATGCTAAAACATGAATAAACATTAAGGACATTATGCTAAGGGAAATTAGTCACAAAAAGACAAATACCGTATGATTCCATTTATATGAGATACTTACCAGAGTCGAAACCATAGAGACAAAAAGTAGGATGGTGGTTGCCAGGGGCTAGGGAGAGGAGGAAATGGGGAAGTAGTATTTAATAGGTACAGAGATCTAGTGGTACAAGGTTACAAAGAGTTCTGGAAATGGATGGTGGTGATGGTCACACAACATTATGAATGTATTTTATACTACTGAACTGTACACTTACAAATGGTTAAGATAGTAAATTTTATGTTCTATTTTACCTCAGTACAAAAAACTAGGAAAAATTCATGTACAGTTTTTGTATATACTTATACTTCTGCTTCTCTGTATATAACCTCGAGTGGGATTGCTGAGTCATATATAAACTCCATGTTTAACATTTTGAGGAACTGCCAAACTTTTTAAAAGTAGCATTTACACCATTTTATATTCCTACCAGCAATCTATGAAGGTTACAATTTCTCTGTATCCTCGTCAACATGTTATTTTCTCTTTTTTTGAATGTAGGCATACTAGTGGGCATGAAGTGCTGTCTCATTGTGGTTGTGATACTAATGATGGTAATCATCTTTCTATGTGCTTATTAGCCATTTGTGTATCTTTGGAGAAATGTCTGGACATGTACTTTCTCTATTTCTTGGCTTTTTAACCTTATTAAGTTGTAAGTACCCTTTACATAATTTCAGGATACAGTCCGTTATCAGACAAATGATTTACAAATATTTTCTTCACTTTATGGAATGGTGTCATTTCCAATACAAAAGTTTTAATTTTTATAAAATCAATATTACATATTTTCTGCAAACAAAATTATGTCATCTGCATATAATTTACCTGCAATAAAATTCACCTTTTTTTCTTAAAGTTCTATACATTTTGACACATACACATTGTCATACAGTTTCATTACCCCAATAAATTCACTTGGGGTACTGCCGATCTATTTTTTGTCCCTAAATTTTTGCTTTCTCAGGAATATCATGTAAATAAAATCATCGCAGATAAAATGTCAGATGTGTTTCTGGTTTTTAGTGAAAAGGAATTCTATTGAGTGGTTGTTTATATTCAAACCTACATCTTTTTCTTTTTTAAACTCTGTTCATGATTTTAATTTCAAGATTTCTCTGTCACAATTTTTGGTGTGACTCTTTCATTGTACATATACAGCACATCAAAATCTTTGCATTCTAATCAGGTATGAAAATTTCTTGGCCTTAAAGTCTTGAGTCAAGTTTGCAAAAAGGTTATTCAAATTAGACATATTACAGATGGACTAGGGTGATGGTTTTCTAACTTTTTTTTTTTTAAATAGGAGAGGGCTTCGCTGGTGGCACAGTGGTTGAGAGTCCGCTTGCCGATGCAGGGGACGCGGGTTCGTGCCCCGGTACGGGAAGATCCCACATGCCGCGGAGCGGCTGGGCCCGTGAGCCATGGCCGCTGAGCCTGCGCGTCCGGAGCCTGTGCTCCGCAATGGGAGAGGCCACAATAGTGAGAGGCCCGCGTACCGCAAAAAAATAAAAAATAAAATAAAAAATAGGAGAACTTTCTTAAAATAAAACTTTGCATAGAAACTCAATATGTATACACATCAAAGCAGAGTTTCTCCTTTGAATTCTGAATAGACACCCTGCCCATGACTCCCTCTTTTCTTCAGAGCATAGTTTGAGTATCCGTGGTCTCACTCTTGAGTTATCCTGAGTTGACTGATCTACTAGGAGCAGCATTAACATATTGGTCATCAGGATCAATCTCAGAATGAAGAAGAGGGAAAAACCTGAGAAACAATTAGCCTAACTACAGGGTTCTTATCTCAGGCAATGGCTTTCCTACTCTGCTGTTCATTGCGCTGAGCTCCCAAGAGGAAATGAGAATACTCAGGGATAACGACAACTGTCTTTACACACCGGAAGGGCTGCCATGTGGAGGCTGATGAGAATAGTTCAAAATCATTCCAGAAGATAGATCTAGAATGACAGTGATTAAACAAATAAGAAGGAAGAACATTCTACAAACAAGGTCAATGCCGATTTTGAAAGTGAGATAGATTTTCCTGCCCCATATATAAAAATCGGAGTAGAGAAGCACAAAAACCCTCCCAGCATTGAATTCTGTGTCTGTGGGCAACTGCATACACCTGGCCCTTCTGTGATAGATACACACCACTGACTAGCATTCATTTTCTATCGTGCCACTTCCCACTATCTGTCCTAGAGGCACAGAGGGGAGCATCACAGTGACCAGTGATAGGGATCCCTAAAGTAAATGTGTCGTTAAACTAAGTTTTCAATTACAACCTTATAAAAAATGAAGAGACCCCAAACTCAGAGTTTCTAACGTACCGTATTTATTAAAGTACCATACATTTGCTTACTTTCAGTCCCCTTTTCTATGGTATGAGAGATCTTCGCAAAAGAATAGAAAGGAACTCTGCAGTTTCCTCTGTAGATATTGTGATCTGTGTTTTTCAGTGTGTGCAGAGGCAAAGAGGGCTTTTCAGTGATAGTTCCCCATTGTCTCTGCCTTTCTACAAGCATCCATTTCTTGACTCCACTTAGGAGTATAGTGCTGCCTGGCTCTCCTGATCACCACCATGGGATGGTGCCCATTTATCCTTTGTACTCTTATGCATCCTATTGGATTCTCACATGCCCACTGGTTTACATTCTGTCTGCTTGTCCGTGCAGGGATGCTCTAGCTTGTTTCTTTAATAAGACTGCACATAGTCATGCATTTTGAGAAGGAATTTGGGGACTAACTCAAAATAGTAAATGTGCCAAACCTCAAGTTAAATTTAGTATGATTTTATTGAACTGGCCATTCTACATTTGCTTTGGGTTGTTTTTTTTTTTTTATGTTGTCCCCCCTAAGGCTTATCACCCTGGTTGTTTCAACTTGGTATAATTTTATAGTTTTTCTAAACAACTGTGGTGTTGTTGATCAGCTGCTGTGACTGTGGCCTTTATTGTGGGTTGGGAGATCAGGCAGGACTTAGCTGAATCCTTGGCTCAGGTTCTCACATGGCTTCAATCAAGGTGTGGGCTGTGTTCTCATCTGAATGCTAAACTGGAGAAGAATACTTTTCCAAGTTCCTTTAGGTTGTTGGCAGAATTAATTCCCTGTGGCTCTGTGAGTGAGGGCCCCAGCTTTGTGCTGGCTGAAGGCAGCCATCTTAGAGCTTAGAGGCCACCCACAGCTCCTTGCCATGTGGGCTTCTTCAAGGCAGGAAAGATAAGCTCTCACTAAGGAGGACCCAGTCCTTCTTGTAAGGGCTTTCACCAAAGTCAGGCCACCCCAGGATATACTCCCTTTTGGCTAACTCAAAATCAACCCATTTGAGGTCTTTTTTACATCTGCAAAATCCCTTCACTTTCGCCATATTCTGTTGGCTAGAAGCAAATCACAGGTCCCTCCCACACTCCAGGGAAGTTTTTATACAAGGCGTGACCGCTAGGGTGTGGTGATCTTCAGGGCTCACCTTTGGTCTACCCACCACAGGTGTAAACAAAATTCACATTGTGGGAGCAAGAGGAGGATCTTAAGTTGAGGCATTTGTGATATGAGAAGTCAAAGGGGTTGTAGAAGTGGGGATCTAAGGAAGCCAATGTCCAGTCTGAGAATGTTCCCAGATGGAGGCTGTTGAATTGAAAGAGTCAGAGAAGCAAGAACTGAATCAGCAGTCAAGAATCATCAGTGGAGAAGGTTATAGACGATTAAAGTTACCAGCAAGAGCACCATGGGCTAAAGGTATGAGCAAAAGTGCAAAAAGCAACAGCCAGTTTTTAATACGACACTTGAACCTCATTTCGGGAGCATATCAGCTACTTTTAGAGGGTCCATATCTGGTAAAATTGTACCCAGCACTATGTTAGTCATCCAAATATTCTGCTCTTTTACTGTGTTTCTGTGAGGACAAAACGAGAGAATCTAGTACTTTGTGAAATACAAAGCTCTGAAAAATGACAAAGGCGAATTGCTCCTTTGACAGTGTCTTTAGGCAACTTTCTTAGCTTTCTCTTGTCTTTTGCTCCAGACCTTCACCTGTGATCTGTCTGTGCAGATCTGTCACTGTGTCCTTACTCCTAGGGGATTGCTTACAGGACAATAAGGGAATAGATGCATTTAGGACCCAGTGGGTTGGGCCTATACACCAGGTAAGGATGCATTCTCTTGTTGGAAAGCCCTAGTGCCTATACCTGAACAGGTGTCAAAATGAAGTTTGTTCAGGGGGAGGTTAAGGCCAAGCTAGGACCCTGCAGGGCTTAAAGACTATGAAATAGTAGCTAGGTATTATTTAAAGATGCACTTGATGGTACGGGGCCCTCAGGTAGGGAAGCATGTAGCAGTTAACCAAGGAAGTAGAAGAAAGTAGGTCAGAAAACCAGAATTCAGTGGCTGGAGAGGCATCCAGGATGGTAGGTTATCAGTACCAGGGCTCTTTGGCATGAGTGTGGGCATGTGAGACCTAAAAGTACAGCCCTCACTTCTGAGTGCTTACTACGAGTCAGGCATTGTTCCAAATGCTTTATACAAATTAATTCATTTGTTCCTCATAACTGGCTTATAAATTATTTTTAAGCTCATTTTACAGGTGAAAACTCGTAGCCATAGATGGTAAATAACTTGGCCAGGTCCAGACAGGTAGAAAGCAGCACATCTGTTATCTCCCTTCTTGAACAAGGCACCCCCGCATGTGTCTGCTCAGCCCAGTCTCAACCTCTGTATCTACCACCTCCTGCATGAGTGATGGCATCATCTAGCAGCAGAATGGGCAGAGGTAGAGGCGGGCAGGTGACTGACACCCAGAGGACCTCGGGGGGCTAAATTCAGGGAAAGAACGCCAATCTCGAGAGAAACAGAAAGACCAGTTCAGGGCCCCTTTTCGTGAACTAGAGGCTCAGAATCAGGGAGACAAGTTACCAGGAGCAGAGGATGGGATGTGCCTCTAGGCTGACTTGATGCTGAGCTGCAGGATTTCTGTCTTGAGGTTGCTTCACTGGATCCTAAATATAGGGGCAGGGCTGTGGGAACATTCCAGCTATGAGTCCTGGAGGGCAACAGGCCAAGCAAGTCATGGCAATTACCTAGCAAGCACTTACCCATCACATGTTAGGACTGTTTGGGGTGCGAGGAATTCACAGGGGAGCAAGGTCATTCCTGCCCTGGGACTGTTCCCCAGTGAGTGGCACTGTCTACTCTTTTGCCTACATTTTGTCCACACCTAATATTGCCTCTTTCTTATCACAAGAATAGAAATGATCATTGATATCATCATTTTCTGAGACAAACTTTCCCATGGTAATTTCCACGGCGATTTTAATAAAGCCCAAGTGGAAATTCAATTTATTAAAAACATCTTTTTTTTAAATTTTCTCATTTTCTGTTTAACTGGAACATTAACATGAGTCTGAGAATAGAAAAATTAGATTAGCAGCTTAAAACAAAATCTCTTAAATGCCAATAAAATTGTGCAGAGTGTTACATGTATTTCCCATCCTTGGTCCACGGCGAGCTGATTCGGGCAGTGCGTGGTACCTCTGGGGAACTCACCCAGACCCATGAAAGCTAAGCTTTCATGCTGGTCAGAATCAGACTCCATTGTGTGTGGACCCTTTTAAAGGTAAATGTTTTCACAGACCCTGCAATATGGAACTAGACTGTTTTATCCTCATGTTGTTTAAATATGCAGACACACAAAACTAGGTCTAAACTCCTTATGCTTTTAATTCATACTACTTTGAAGTCAGAACAAATTAACAAGCTAAAACCAAATTACAAAAGCAAAAGTAATTCAAATGCCGCTTGCATTAGGGCTACAGTGTGGACTATTCCTTTAATTTGCGTAGGCCTTTCCCAGTCTGTCGGACTGGAGTCAGTTTTTTTCACCACTTCTCGCACTGCTTCAGAACCTTCATCCCCGCAGTTCACAGTGATGTCATTTAGAGTTCACGTGGCAGGAGTTCATCATTTGCCTACTAAATCTGCCTTTGTTCTTTTCTCATTAGCCTGGGACAGTTAAAGTAGCCCTGTTTGGTGACAACTCATTTATAATATAAGTGCAAACTTGGACACTGGAACTATAAGAAAGGATTTAGAAATAAAGCAATTGTGCCAATAATTCAGAATATGGTATTTTAAATTGTTAAAGGAGTGTTCTAGGGAATTTCAAGACCTCTGAGAACTTGTCCTTGGACTTCTGTTTATCAAAATCAATCCTAAAATAACTATAATAGAGAGCTGTTTCTCACTGTACATTGTTTCCATCCTCTTTGTTTTACTTTGGAGGAGACCACAGATAAATGCTGGGCTGGACATCACGTACTCCTGTGAGAAGTTAGATTGGGATGACATGGATGGACGTGTCCTATGAAATATTAGTATGTGGATAGTCAGTCAACAGAATCAAGTGGAACCAACCCTGAAGCAAAACTATGTGTTATGGCCCCATATTTTTCTGAAAATAGCCCTTTGGGCTGCTACACAAAAGTCAGTGTTCTACGGGATCCCACATCTGGCATCATGTATAAGTTCAGGTTACTTGCGTGACTGATGGTGGATTCACACCTTAAGGTCAGCTGTCTTGATCTATAATGAATTTTTTGTCGAGTTATGAGTAGAGATTAAGAAATAGTCACTGGACAAACCTTGGTGACTCCTCTCTCAGCCAAAGAAGGGCTGCCTGTCAGGTTAGAGAGGTAGTGTAGCCTAGTCCGTAAGAGCTCCGGGTTGCAGTTTGGACTTGCCCCTTGAGAACTACTTGGCTTTGAGCAAGGTGTCTCTCTTGTTTAGGAATCAGGTTGCTCTGCTGTAAGGTGGGAGTAACAGCAGAACTTACTTGAGAAGGCTGCAGCAAGGACCTGGGTGGAATAAAGCAGGAGAGCGCTTGACGCGATAGCCTCAACAGAGAAAGTGCTCCATCCACTGAGCCATTATTATTTACATGAATACCGAACTCAACATTGTCCTCTAGAACATGAGTTCTCAAACTTGTCTGCTGAGTAGCTACGAGAAGTAGTAACGCCTGGGTCCCACCCCCAGAGATTCTGATTCACTTGGTACGCGGTGCAGCTGGGGCACTGGGATTTTAAAAAGTCCCCAGGTGGTTCTAATACGCAGCCAAAATGGAGAATCAGCTTCTGTTCTAGAGGAGCTCACAGTAGGTGAAGTCTGGCGCCATGAATACTGGAGAGTGGAATGCTTGTCCCAATCTGATAGTCGATCATTGTGTCCCTGGGCAAGTCCCCTTCCCACTCAGTTCCCCGTTTATTGTAGAATGAAGGCCAGATTTCAGATGCTATGCTCTCCAGGCTCAGCACAGAGGGAAAAACCAATCTCTTAGGTTATAGCTCTATCTCCAAGCTGCTTTGAAAAAAAAAAAAAATTAAATCCATGAAAAAGCTTTTAAACTGTTCGTTTAAAATAAAAATACATAAAGAAATTCTTTATTTTTTACTTTTTTTTACTGGTTGGTATTTATAAACATACCAAGAAGGCTGGTATTTGGAGACACAAAATCTAGAAGTTGAACTACGTAGCAAGAGAAAAGGTAGGAGGGCAGGGCATGTTTTACTATAATTCACTATCAGTCACTTTCCTTCTACCACTTTACTAAGAAAACCACGGATTTGAGAATGTCTTCTACACACCCCTGGCTCTTGTTACACCCCTGGTAGGAAGGTTTGGGACAGGACAGGTTGAAGGTCACACCTGCGCTAGCATTTAACCCCATGGCTAGCCTCAGATGTGTGAGGGTTCACCCCAGGTTCTTAGCTGTCCATTCACAATCAACTCTTAATAACTGTGCTTTAGAAAGAAGTAGACTGAAGGAAAACAGCACTGAATGTTATGTGATCTGCAAGTAGCATGATAATGGTCACGTGCAGAACAAGGTATGGCTTACAAAATGTGTTCGTGTACATTTCTTAGCGTTCACAGTAAGCCTGTGAGTGCATCTTTTATTTGAATTTTGTGGTAGAGAAAACTGATGCATAGAGAAGGTGATTCACTCAATGGTATTCATCCAGTAAGTGGCTGAGCAAGGACTCCCTCTCTCCCGTGACGAATTCCACATATCCCCACTGTACCGGGCTCACATCTGGGGCGCGAACTATGAGTCCCATAGGACCGAGTGACTCATAATCTTGTAGTGTCTGCTGTGAGAGTATTTGAATTTCTAAGATCTGTTCTCTCCCCTCCCTAACATCTTCCTTCATCCACTTTCTTGTGTTCTTTCTTTGGCTTTCTTTATATCCTACTCTCTGTCCCGCTTTCTGTAACAAATCTGGAAATTTCACACAGGTAAAGCCTCTTTTTTCCCTAGTGCACCTGTCATTCTCCTTGAGCACTACCCTATTTTCCCCAAGGGAAGCCTCCTCTTGTCCTGATTGAGATGAGTTTGACTCTGGTCCCAGTGCTGCTTGATTAGAGCCCAAACACCCTTCTGAGTTCAAGCTGACTTCCTCTTGCAAAGCACCGGATCCAAATCTCCAGCTGCCACTGGATCTGTGAGGAAAAGGAAATAATTCACCACCTCGAGACTCTACCCATTTCCTCCAGTTGCCTTTTGGCACTTAGGTTCTCGTATGGAATATTGCCCTTGATCATCATCTGAGTTTACGCTTGAAGTCTTCATGTGGTTTACACACCCGGCTTTGGACGTGGTGCCAAGCAAAGGCTGCCCTTCCTCTGGCTCCATCCTCCCATGCGTCCAGCTCCCCATAACTGAGGCACAGACCCTTCTTAAGGTAGGATATACTTTCCGCCTCCTTCAGGAGTTCTCTGTCCTACTCAAGAAAGCTTTCATGAGGAAGAGAAAACAGCCAACTTCTTGTAGGGATCAGTCATAAAATCTGGCATATTTTAACTCATGCCACGAGTTCACTTATTTTAAGACTGAGGAATATTTCTTCATCAGAATGTTATGAAATGTTATGCTGTTGATCTCAACTTTCAGACTAAGAAAGTAACTACTGTGTTTTCTACAGAACTCTCAATTTCATGATAAATTTTTTTTTAGAGAACGTGGGTTTCCAGATGGTGAGATTGTGATAATAATCATTTGGATTAGACCAGAATTTAATTTTGATATTTTTCATGGAGAGGATTATTTTAGCTTCTGAATAAATTAAACAAGTTTTTGGTTTGCTGTATTCAGTGAAGAAAACCAGCTGAGTTTAGATTTCTTCCCCTTTCTTAGTCACTGTGTATTTTTTTTCTTGTTTAAATCAGTGGATTATGTATTATAAGATGTGCTTCATAGAAAATGCCTATCTTATGTGGAAATTGAAGGTTACAATTTTGTAATTTGTGCTTGATAATATCAGACCTGCGTTTGAAATTACATCTATTCCCTGTTCCTGAGTTCTGGCATATTGTCTATCAGCTACTGCTGCATAGCTTAAAGACTTAAAGAGAGTCACTCCTTTACCTGGCCTCATTTTTCTCATCTGTAACAAACTGGATTTGAATTAGTTCATGGCCAGTGGCCTTTTCAGGTCTAACAGTCTCTTTTATATTAGCTCCAAATTGCCAATCTAAAAACGTCGGGTATTAAACTTGCAAAAATACAATGATTTAGTGTAAATATCTTGTATAGCTCATCTTTTTTGTGGTTACCAAAAAGAACCACAATTTAAAGTTATTTCCCTGGGACTTCCCTGGTGGCACAGTGGTTAAGAATCCACCTGTCAATGCAGAGGACACGGGTTTGAGCCCTGGTCCGGGAAGATCCCACATGCCTCAGAGCAACTAAGCCCACGCCCCACAACTACTGGAGCCCATGCACCTAGAGCCCGTGCTCCGCAACAAGAGAAGCCACCGCAATGAGACGCCCGCGCACCGCAACGAAGAGTAGCCCCCGCTCGCCGCAACTAGAGAAAGCCCACGCGCAGCAACGAAGACCCAACGCAGCCAAAAATAAAATAAATTTAAAAAAAGAAAAATGAAAAACAAACAAACAAAAAGCTATTTCCCTCACTAGGTAAATAATGGTTTCTTAGTCCAGACAAGACCATGGTTTTTCACTTTATTTTTAAAATTAAATTGTTTGTTTAATAATGACTCATATGATTAAAATATATATATTGGCACAGGCCACATGTGATTTTAGATTAACTCCTTTTAAAGCTCAGCTGTGTTTTTAAGGTAGATTCTCAGTCATCCCAATATATAAGAATGTTGCCCTACCGAATAGGAGCCCAAGAAACTTTGAAACGGGATCCAAACCCATTCACATTTGAAAGGTTCTCCAGAAACTGTTACTTTATTTTTACCAGATAGCTCTGCGATTCTTCAAAGCCTGTAATTGCATTAAGTGGAGGGCAGCTCAGTGGGAAGTGCTTGCTATCTCTGGTTGTCTCTCTCTCACCGTATGTTACCTTAACTGTGGATACCTGCATTTCATTAAAGCAATCAGCCATGCCCTTAGGTATTCCTTGTGTTTGAACGTACAGGGGGTGAGATGCCTGACCACTCAGCAAGAACATACAATCTTTTGAGTAATGGGGGTTTCTCAGAACCTTCAATAATTCTCAAAAGTCCTTAATTTGAAGAGACAGTTCAGTAAGGCTTTAAACAAGTTCCCATGACCTCACCATCTGCTTGCATTAAAACAAGGTAAATCGCTCACTCTGCTTCCACTTGCTTTTTTTTCTTCAGTTTTATTTATTTTTTTATACATCAGGTTCTTATTAGTCATCAGTTTTATACACATCAGTGTATACATGTCAATCCCAATCTCCCAGTTCATCCCACCCCCACCCCCCCTTCCCCCCCCGCCACTTTCCCCCCTTGGTGTCCATATGCTTGTTCTCTACAACTGTGTCTCAATTTCTGCCCTGCAAACTGGTTCATCTGTACCATGTTTCTAGGTTCCACATATATGCGTTAATATACGATATTTGTTTTTCTCTTTCTGACTTACTTCACTCTGTATGACAGTCTCTAGATTCATCCACATCTCTACAAGTGACCCAATTTCATTCCTTTTAATGGTTGAGTAATATTTCATTGTATATATGTACCATTTCTTCTTTATCCATTTGTCTGTCAATGGGCATTTAGGTTGATTCCATGTCCTGGCTATTGTAAATAGTGCTGCAATGAACATTGGAGTGCATGTGTCTTTTTGAATTATGGTTTTCTCTGGGTATATGCCCAGTAGTGGGATTGCTGGGTCATACGATAGTTCTATTTTTAGTTTTTTGAGGAACCTCCATACTGTTCTCCATAGTGGCTGTATCAATTTACATTCCCACCAACAGTGCAAGAGGGTTCCCTTTTCTCCACACCCTCTCCAGCATTTGTTGTTTGTAGATTTTCTGATGATGCCCATTCTAACTGGTGTGAGGTGATATCTCAGTGTAGTTTTGATTTGCATTTCTCTAATAATTGGTGATGTTGAGCAGCTTTTCATGTGCTTCTTGGCCATCTGTATGTCTTCTTTGGAGAAATGTCTATTTAGGTCTTCTGCCCATTTTTGGATTGAGTTGTTTGTTTTTTAATATTGAGCTGCATGAACTGTTTATATATTCTGGAGATTAATCCTTTGTCCGTTGATTGTTTGCAAATATTTTCTCCCATTCTGAGGGTGGTCTTTTCATCTTGTTTGTAGTTTCCTTTGCTGTCCAAAAGCTTTTAAGTTTTGTTAGGTCCCATTTGCTTATTTTTATTTCCATTACTCTAGGAGGTGGATCAAAAAAGATCTTGCTGTGATTTATGTCAGAGAGTGTTTTTCCTATGTTTTCCTCTGAGAGTTTTATAGTGTCTGGTCTTACATTTAGGTCTCTAATCGATTTTGAGTTATTTTTGTGTATGGTGTTAGGGAGTGTTCTAATTTCATTCTTCTACACGTAGCAGTCCAGTTTTCCCAGCACCACTTATTGAAGAGACTGTCCTTTCTCCATTGTATATCCTTACCTCCTTTGTAATAGATTAGTTGACCATAGGTGTGTGGGTTTATCTCTGGGCTTTCTATCCTGTTCCATTGATCTATATCTCTGTTTCTGTGCCAGTACCATATTGTCTTGATTACTGTAGCTCTGTAGTATAGTCTGAAGTCAGGGAGTCTGATTCCTCCAGCTCTGTTTCTTCCCCTCAAGACTCCTTTGGCTACTCGGGTTCTTTTGTGTCTCCATACGAATTTTAAGATTTTTTTTATTCTAGTTCTGTAAAAGAATGCCATTGGTAATTTGATAGGGATTGGACTAAATCTGTAGATTGCTTTGGGTAGTATAGTCATTTTCACCATATTGATTCTTCCAATCCAGCAACATGGTATATCTCTCCATTTGTTGGTATCACCTTTAATTTCTTTCATCAGTGTCTTATAGTTTTCTGCATACAGGTCTTTTGTCTCCCTAGGTAGGTTTATTCCTAGGTATTTTATTCTTTTTGTTGCAATGGTAAATGGGACTGTTTCTTTAATTTCTCTTTCAGATTTTTCATCATTAGTGTATAGAAATGCAAGAGATTTCTGTCCATTAATTTTGTATCCTGCAACTTTACCAAATTCATTGATTGACTAGCTCTAGTAGTTTTCTAGTGGCATCTTTAGGACTCTCTATGTATAGTATCATGTCATCTGAAAACAGTGACAATTTTACTTCTTTTCCAATTTGGATTCCATTTATTTCTTTTCATTCTCTGATTGCTATAGCTAAGGACTTCCAAAACTATGTTGAATAATAGTGGACATCCTTGTCTTGTTTTTGATCTTGGTGAAAAACTGAAAGCATTTCCTCTATTGAGAATGATGTTTGCTCTGGGTTTGTCATATGTGGCCTTTATTATGTTGAGGTAGATTCCCTCTATGCCCACTTTCTGGAGAGTTTTTTATCATAAATGGGTGTTGAATTTTGTCAAAAGCTTTTTCTGCATCTATTGAGATGATCATATGGTTTTTATTCTTCAGTATTTTTTTGTTTTTTTTTTATATCTTTATTGGAGTATAATTGCTTTACAATGGTGTGTTAGTTTCTGCTTTTATAACAAAGTGAATCAGTTATACATATACATATGTTGCCATATCTCTTCCCTCTTGCATCTCCCTCCCTCCCACCCTCCCTATCTCACCCCTCTAGGTGGTCACAAAGCACCGAGCTGATCTCCCTGTGCCATGCGGCTGCTTCCCACTAGCTATCTATTTTACATTTGGTAGTGTATATATGTCCATGCCACTCTCTCACTTCGTCACAGCTTACCCTTGCCCCTCCCCATATCCTCAAGTCCATTCTCTAGTAGGTCTGTGTCTTTAGTCCTGTCTTACCCCTAGGTTCTTCCTGACATTTTTTTCCCTTAAATTCCGTATATATGTGTTAGTATACAGTATTTGTCTTTCTGACTTACTTCACTCTGTATGACAGACTCTAGGTCCATCCACCTCATTACAAATAGTTCAATTTTGTTTCTTTTTATGACTGAGTAATATTCCATTGGATATATATGCTTCAGTTTGTTACTATGGTGTATCACATTGATTGATTTGCATGTATTGAAGAATCCTTGCATCCCTGGGATAAATCCCACTTGATCATGGTGTATGATCCTTTTAATGTGTTGTTGGATTCTGTTTGCTAGTATTTTGTTGAGGATTTTTGCATCTATATTCATCAGTGATATTGGTCTATAATTTTCTTTTTTTGTAGTATCTTTGGTTTTGGTATCATGGTGATGGTGGCCTCATAGAATGAGTTTGGGAGTGTTCCTTCCTCTGCAATTTTTTGGAAGAGTTTGAGAAGGATGGGTGTTAGGTCTTCTCTAAATGTTTGATGGAATTCACCTGTGAAGCCATTGGGTCCTGGACTTCTGTTTGTTGGAAGATTTTTAATCCAGTTTCAATTTCATTATTTGTGATTGGTCTGTTCATATTTTCTATTTCTTCCTGGTTCAGCCTTGGAAGGTTATACCTTTCTAAGAATTTGTCCATTTCTTCCAGGTTGTCCATTTTATTGGCATAGAGTTGCTTGTAGTAGTCTCTTAGGATGCTTTGTATTTCTGCAGTGTCTGTTGTAGCTTCTTCTTTTTCATTTCTAATTTGACTGATTTGAGTCCTCTCCCTCTTTTTCTTGATGAGTCTGGTTAATGGTTTATCAATTTTGTTTATCTTCTCAAAGAACCAGCTTTTAGTTTTACTGATCTTTGCTACTGTTTTCTTTGTTTCTATTTCATTATTTTCTGCTCTGATCTTTATGATTTCTTTCCTGCTACTAACTTTGGGTTTTGTTTGTTCTTCTTTCTCTAGTTCCTTTAGGTATAAGGTTAGATTGTTTATTTGAGATTTTTCTTGTTTCTTGATGTAGGCTTGTATTGCTGTAAACTTCCCTCTTAGAACTGCTTTTGCATCCCACAGATTTTGGATTGTTGTGCTTTCATTGTCATTTGTCTCTAGGTATTTTTTGATTTCCTCAGTGATCTCTTGGTTATTTAGTAGTGTATTGTTTAGCCTCTGTGTGTTTGTGTTTTCTCCATTTTTTTCCCTGTAATTTATTTCTAGTCTCATAGTGTTGTGGTCAGAAAAGATGCTTGATATGATTTAAATTTTCTTAAATTTACTGAGGCTTGATCTGTGACCCAAGAGGTGATCTGTCCTGGAGAATGTTCTGTGTGCACTTGAGAAGAAAGTGTAATCTGCTGGTTTTGGATGGAATGTCCTAAAAATATCAATTAAATCTATCTGGTCTATTGTGTCATATAAA